CGCGTCCTACCGCGCCGCAACACACAAGTCGGGTCCATCGGGCACGTTTACATTTACCTCTTGACGGCGCTCACCAAGCACCAGCACATGGACGAAGCATACCAGCTACTGACCGTTCGCGTCGGCCGAGCGTATCAAGCCGCGCGCCGACCACATTAGCGTCGTCTTGCACTGCCTCGGGCGTAGCGACGAGGCCAGCGGCGCCGACATGGTTCCATCCTTCCTCCGACTCACGCTCGAGCTGTTGAGTCGCCTCAAGCTCGAGACGAGCCCGCGCTTTTGGCTCCAGAGCATCACGTCGGCGACTAGCATTGACAACATGTCGCTCGCTCTCCAAGGTATAACTTTTTGCGATTTTTCGCATTTTGAAACGGGTCGTGCAATACTAGTCTACGATGCAATGCGGGCCAAGTGCATCAAGCCTCGACCTGACGCCGCCCACGTGCTGCTCGAGTACCTGCACCCGCGGAATGGCGCGACCGACGCGAGCTCGTCCTTTGTCCGCATTTACAAGGACGTCGTCGAGGCGCGTGCCACGTCACCGGTGCGGCTTTTCTCAAATGTCAACCGATCGAGTCGAGAGCTCTGTCTTAGGCCATTTTCCTCTTGGCGCTGGACGCCGCGGCGTACATGCAGGATGCGGCGCTCGTCAAGACGATCCTACATGACGTGGACGCTGCGGACGTTGCAATGGGCCACGGGCTCCTCAACGCTGCGCTGCGTGCCCTTGCGTCAACAAACAACGACGGCACCCGTGCGACGAGCCAGAAATTATGCGCATGGAAAGACTGATGCCCCGCCGTAGACGCCCAAGTAGCCACCGAGTTGACAGCCCGCATGATTGCAGCGGAAATCAAACCGACGCACGCGACGCTATCTGCCATCGTCCGCCTCCACGCCCACTCGCTTAACGACCTGCACACGCCGCTGACGGCGTTGGCGCCGGCGTTTTCCATGCCGACGCACCCGACCGTGACCGACCCTGCGTCACACGTCGCGTGCCTCGGTCTTGTCCATTGGATTCGATACGAAAACGGAGGTCGCGCCGCCTCGGACGTACTGACGGCGCTGCTAGCGTCGCCAACCTGGCACGTGGATGCCGTCGTGGTACGACGGATTGTCTCTAAATACGCCAGGTGGCTAATCGAAGGAGTAGCGAGACCGGGTCGTCCACGCCTTGGTGCTGGCCCACGAGTTTGAACTGGCCGCGCACTGGATGCTCACTGACGCGCCGCTGCGCCATGACGTGTACGCGTCGTGGTTCTCGACCGCATTTTCGGCGAACGCGCCGCTGACGTCGGCCGTCGACGTGTTCAAGGCATGGCAGGCGACGGGGTCGGTCACGCTCCATGACTTTGGCGACGTCATCTACTACCTCTGCCAGCGCCAGGACCTCACCAGCGCCCTCGACGTCTTTGAGCTTCTCGTACATCCGACTCCTGGGATGGATACGCATACTTGATACTTGATACGTGTGTAGCACGAGCCACCAACCGAGAAGATCTGCGTGGCACTGATGAAAGCTCTGCACTCGGAGCAGACACGGGCGTCGATCGACAGCAGCTTCAAGGACTTCTTTCGGCTCGCGGTTGCCCGGGGCGATGCGAAGGCACCCGCGTTCCACTCGGCGCTCAACCTCGCCGTGACCTCGGCGGACGAAGGCTTTGTGCGTGAGATCCTTGAGGCGATGGTGCTCTCGTACACCGTCGACGACACGCCAACGTGGCGCTTGGACCAAGCCGCGTACAACAAGGCGCTGTACGCTTGCGCGACACACCCGAACCTTCACGCGCTCGGACTGCGCGTCTTTGAGCACATGCACCAGTGCGTCGATGCCACGTCGTTTTCTAGACCAATGGACAATCTCTCTCTCTTGTTTAGACACCGGGTCGAGATCAACGAACTGACCATGATGGCATGTGCCAAAATGGCCAAGTCGTTCCCCGCGTCCTCGGCCACGTTGAAGCTCCTCGCGGATTTCAAAGAGTAGCGTGGAGCGCGCCGATCGAACGTGATTGTCTGATATTTTTGGTTCTGTAGACTCAACCAGTGGCCAACCATTGAGGTGTACACGGTGATTTTGGGGATTTTGGCCCAACACCGTCAGTGGGCCGACTGCGACGCGCTATTTTCAATGCTGCAAGAACAGGGCGTGCCATTGGACCTCAAGGCTGCGACGCTCTTTGGGTGCGTCCTGGCGCAACAGTGCCGCACGGACGAGCTCCTCAAGCTCATTGCCCACATGCAAGAAAATGGTAGTCGTATATTTTTCTTTTTGATTTTACGGCATTTTGGTAGGGATCGAACCGGACGCGTTGTTTCTGCGCGACATTCTCGCACGGCTCTACCGCCACTACGACGTGGACAAGTGCCTCGATTTTTGCAAGCACGTGCTCTCGGTCGCGCGCTGCCAAGGTGCTCGATGAACTGTTTCTTTGGTGGACTCACAATGGTCTAGTCTACTATCACTCGATGATCGAGCTGGCGCTGCGTCACGGTATCTATCGATTGCTATACATGGAGATGAATGCTATGTCTACTAGGTCTCTTGGACCGAGCGCTCAACCTCGTCATTCAAATGGAGTGCGACGGCTTCACGATCCACGCCCACGTGGTGTTGGACATTATCCATCGCGTCACGACCATGCAAGAACTGGAAAAACTCATTTCGGTCTTTGCGCAACTCAACGATGGCGGTATCGACTTGTCACAGACAAATCAGTGGACAACTTGTCGGTTGTGATGTAGACGTGGACCGCGAATTGCCGTTTGAGGCGTCGGTGTTTACTGCGCTCCTCGAGAAATGCGATGCGATGCAAGTCAAGAGCAGCGTCGCGCTGCGGTTCATTGAGCGCCACGCGACCGCGCTTGGCTACAACGTCCGCGCGTGATTGAATAACACTAGACAAGAATAGAGACGATAGCGTTGCATGAACGACGATGACTCGGATCGACTTTATTAGCCAGGACGGTCTTGAGTTGGCTTGGCTCTCGCACCGACTCGTCGTTTTTGAAGCAAAGTACTATGCAATAGTTCGTACGCTAGCTCAACTAGTTTTGCACCACTAGCCTTATTGTGCAAAACTAGAGTGATTTACATTCGACTTGATCATGTCCCTTGCACAAACTTGGTGGAGAGTGCGGTTCAACACGTAGCGCAATTATAGCCAATCAAACACGTTCAAGACGCAATACAGTACTCGCATTGGCTCACAGGAAATGCTTGCTTCTGGATTGGTTGATTTCGTTTGAGACCCGATTGCCGCCAAGCTGCAAAATGCAAAGTCGTCACAAGAAGCATGTGCTGACGCCGGAGGAGAAGATGCTGATCGTCCGCACGCACG